CACCCTCAGAAGAGCTAGTGGGGCTCAGCAAGACTTAACTGAAGAATAAGTTGCAATGAACAAAAAGAAAAAACCCACACATGTACACACTAAGATATACATAAACGAGAACTGCTACACATCAAGCATGCTTACCCACAAGTGGGCAATGTTAGAAAAATTTACTGATGTTTTTTTATTTTTCCCCCCATGGTGCTGGTACAATGAAACAGTAGCATAAGTAGAAAGCAGCATGTTTTCCTAGTTCTAACCACTACAGATAGCACAGCTCTGGTCTAAAATAACACAGTACTGCTTATTTACAATTCTGTTTTAAAAGGGAATATTTAAAACATGTTCCCACCCCTCTCCCTTTGCATCACCTATTACTGGATGGTAGTGGTAATCCAACACACAACTCCTTACATGTTTTCAACTGAAACAGTTTAACTTCTAGTTATTATTTGCCTGGTAACATGTAACTTAGGGACTAACAAAAACAAATACAAGTGTCAAAGAAACCTACAGCTGTATGACTCAAACATTTCTAGGCACTTTACATGAAAATCTAAAAGGAATACTGATTGACACCTTTCATTTGATTGTTCTATGTTTCTGTCTCGTTTCTCTTTTTCCTTTTTTTTTTTTATTTTTTTTTTTTCCAAATGAACACCCCCATCTTTAACCCTATACTTTATAAAGTGTAAAAGAACCCAGAAACACAGTACACTCATCTGGCTTGAAACAGTAAAAAAGTAGATGATATCCAGCACACCTTTATAACATGCATAAGAAAGAAATTGGCCCAGTTTAACTTAGCTTTCCAATGAAAACTGAAATAAAATCGGTTTGGCTGATTCACCTACACTACACATCTTTTTTTCTGTTTTACTTACTTCCTCCCCTCAAACATCATTAACTTCTGTCTACGAAGTATTTGAAGATTTTGTGGTAGTAGCAAAGCTATCAACATCCACCCAAAAAGATTCACATAAATTGTACAGGATATTGGCTAGAATGAAGAAAAGGTTCAACCAACAAGTCACCCTGCAACCCAGAGAGGCAGGCGAGGCGCTGCACACCTTCCCCCCCGCCAAACTTCAGCTGCTATCAGTGCCCGCCCGGGTGCCTTCAACCATGATGAGAAAGAAGAGGGCACTTCCGCCATAGGCTGTAAGTTTTCCAACACATGTTCGGGATACAAAAAAACCCCAATTTACATGTAAAGAGCTGATGTATAATCAAGATTCATACATTACTCAAAGAAAATATTTGTTGGACAAACCTCACTTCAATGTTGGGGAATTTTAAAAGTCCAAGGAATAGAGCTGAAAAAGAGTCTTTCATGTGTAAACCGAAAAAAAAACCTAGTCAGCCATAGACTGCAGCTATTGAGAAAAATTTTACATCAGGTTAGTTTTCTGAATGCACTATCTTCCCTTCTCCATACTAAGGGAATTGTTTAAGAATGTTCAAAATGGGAGGTGAAAATAAGTATGATAATTTTCTGCAAAGCAAAATGGGCTATTTGTTTTCATCGCTGCGTAAATGTATCATCTCGATATGAGATATGAATGTATTTATAAGCTTAAAACAACTTCTTCTATGGATAATATACATACTTTAAGTACTTTGACTTAAAAATTGAACATAAGTCTTTTTAAAATTAAAGGTAGAAGTGTACATATAAAAATTATTTAAAACTAAAAGTATATTCTTAAGCCATATGTATAAATATAATAGATTTTATTGTATTATCTAGTAACAAATCTGAAAGTGTTGCAGTAATTTATAAACTGAATGCTGACACAGGATAAGTGTCTTTCATTAGATTCTATATTGTATATACTTGTATATACATATTTTGCTAAGAAAACACACATTCTAAATGATAGTCACATAATTAGCAAATGTGCCTGAAAGTAATCTGTTCTAAAGTCTTTATTGAATGTGTGTGTTTATATACAAATAATGAACCTGAACTGCACAAATGTAGAAACAAAATTAAAGAATAAAATACCACGATTGAATTAAAGTGCAGGAAAAATTCAAGTTTAAAAGTTCAGGTAAGATCAGTGCCATTAATTAAGCAAAAAAAAAAAGGAAAAGAGAAAAGGAAAACAAAAAGGAAAAAATGGAAATCAACTTGCTTCCAAAAATCCTCCTTTGGATGTAGCTTTCCAGCATCACCTGTCATGCAAGTACCACCTCAGGCAAAAATCTTTGCATATAGACAGACAAGGAACACAGCTATATATTACTATATTTTATAACTGACTCTCTGCTGAAGAACAAATCACTGGAGATGCCTGTGATGTAACACTTTCAGACTTATTTGGAATACACGCATATTTACACATATCAACATTCAAAAGTTACAATTTGGCAGGACTAAGGTGAAGAAAAGCTTCTTCAGTTTGCAGTTCCTAATGAGACACACTACATATAAACAGATAGGTAGCAGCAGTTTCTTACACCTCCATCAAAAAAATAAAAAAGTAATAGCTCAATTGTATTTTATAGTTTTCCAGACACTCTAAAAAAGTTTCACACAACTAAAATGCTAGCGAAAAAACTGGGGTGCTTCCCTCCAAGGATTTCTATATACTTTGCTGTACAAAAGGTGCACCACCAATAGCAGAGTAGGATGCAATGATGTGTGTACGATCAACTTCCTTCCACAGAGAAGGAAAAAGGAACGTTTTAGGCTAAAATTGTATATAGCCCCTTTTATTGACCAAGAACCATCTGTGTATTCATCTCAAGAGCATTTCAATGGTTTTCAAATCTAGAAGCATGCTCTGAACATATGAAACAGAAAAAAATATTCAACTGTGATAAATTCTATAATACCAAGTAAGCCACTACTCTTCTTGTACTGACAGATGGTCTCTCATTGCCTCTTATTTTTTTGCTTGCTGGTGGTTGTCAAATGCTTCTTGATGGAAAAGTTAAGTATGCTTTCCTTTCAAGCCAAGGTCATCTTCCGTTGAACTGATACCACGATTTGCTGAAGAGTACTTTGGCCATCCTCTCCCCCAGAGCCTGACCAGATTAATTTTCCAGGATTCTGTTGTTCTGAAATATAGTTCATCTTCACCAGGTCAAATAATCAGTCATCTCAATTTATAAATGTGAGACAAGGAAGGGGACAAGTGTCAGCTAGGGTGTTTTATTTTTGGAAATGGTATGGATAGTAGTTTATCTAGTTTTCTACCTGGATTTTTAACAAAATGGTGTTAATTTAAATATTAGACACTAAAAAGAAATTAATTAACATGCAGAGGCAAAAATTGCATGGCAAGTTGAGATAAGTAACTGGAGTTAACATTGCCTCAGTAGGTATGGGACGGGACAGAGCCATCTGGAAATCATAATGCTGCTTGTTCAAATTGTCACATTCTCATTTGTTAAGTTCTTTGAACAGTGGACATGCTATGGCATGCCCTCGTACTGGCAAAAGAATTCACTTGTCTTTCTTAATTACATGTTACTATACATAAAATCAGAAAATTTATCAACTTGTGCTACAAAGCCCCAATATATTTGCCTTTCATTCGAAAAATGAATTAAGAACCATCAGTAACTTCAATATTTTGCATCCTTGAAGTGTTTTGTAAGATTGCCTTATCTATGTACCTGCAACATCACTTTACAATACAAATATAACAAGGTTTTGCTTTGGGAACATTCAGAAAGTGTGTGAAAAAACCCACACTGAATGTGATGCTTGGAGAAGCAAACCCAAATGATTAATTTCAGACAATGTAGACCTATCAGCTTCTAAGTACTCCCTCTTATAAAACAAAACCAGTCAGTAACTATTCCCACTTTGAGGAAAAATGTCTAAATAGATTTTTGAAATGCAAACATTTATTTTAAGGAATCCTCTCTTTTTAAAAGAGCTCTGGTCATTCCCACTGTTACAGCTTTAGTGCAGCAGCCATTAACAAGTTAGCTCAGCTATATTATTTACCTCACCCAAACTGAACATTATTTCACCAATTCCTGACGTTTTAGTGGACACTTACCACTGTCCACATTGAAAACACTGCTTTAGAGACTAAATCCAAACTTTAGGCCAACTGCCTTTAGTGCTGGGTGGGGCTGAGACAGGTACTTGTAAAATAGCTCTACTAGCAGGATTTAGAAATTTGCTAACAATATACTGACAATTATTAAATATTAGATGCTTGCCATTATTCATGCATCAGCACCTCCACAGAGTGTAAAACTGTTTGAAAACCTGAGTCCAAGATTAGCTGATTTCATAGTAAAGGACTAAAGGGGCATCTAGAACTTAAGTTTTGACCAAAACTAATCTCAACTATTTTAATTAATGGCTGTAAAGATACATTCTGTTAAACATTTATAAAATTTCACAGCATGAATGGAACCCACAGCCAATTCTAAATATTATACAAACTGAACCAATAACTATTTTTGGCAAAAAATAATATTTAACTGAACAGAAGTTGAAGTATTGTTACCACAATGAAGATGTTACCACAATTCACATTGCACGGCCATAACACAAATGAAAACTCCCAGCATGACACATTCCAGTCATATTATTCACTTGACTTTTTTAATGCAAAAATTGTGTATTCTCTTGTTTTGCACTTCACAGAATACGATGTGAATACAAGAATGCTAGATCAGGGGTCCAAGAAAAGACTATGCACAGGTCAACTATGTATACAATTTTCAACATGAAATCTTCCAAGCTTCCAGCTTTTCCGATGAAAGAAGTGACAGCAAACTTCAACTGTTCTTCAACAATAATGGTAAATATAGCGAGTCCTAGAAAGGGTAAGTGTAAGTCAGCTACCGTCCAGCAAGACAAACAACTTTATTCCAGCTCTTGGACCCCTGATTTATTGCCTCTCCTCACAGGAGAGTATAACACTGGCAGCAATTACAACAGCACAAAAACTTTTGGCATATGAAATATTAACACAGGATTGACCCTGCATTGCCCCTGCCCATCTCACACTACATCTTCCCTTTACTCTCTTTTCCACATGTTCTCGTTACCTTCTCTGTTCCAACTCTCAACTAACCAACAGCTAAGAAACACTCAAGTTTCCTTTTTTTGTGTTTCTTTTAAATATAAAGCTCCTCAGTTAAAGCCATGACTGAGGTAAAACAGTGTGTTATTTGTGCTAGGAAACAACAGTATCCAATGGTGAATACTCTTTTAGATTTCAATGGTCCTGCCAAAATTAAGGAAAAATCAAGACTTTTTTTTCATCAGGACAAAATTAAACAGATGTAATTGATGAGCATCATCAGAATTGGTACCACTTCTTGTCTTTGTACTTCAACATCATCTAAAAAACAAAAAACAATTTCTAATTACTGTTTCTATAATGTACCAAAAAGTACAATGACACAAACAAATTATATGCTTACAAAGCAGCATGAGAAAGAGGGACTTTAGTACGGCTTCTCAAAACTGCAACAACAACATTGCTGAACAGTGAGGGTTTAGCATGATGAATTTTCTAATGGTAGCATCACCACTGATGATCTAACCTCAGATAGAGAAAGACATTTTGGGAGAATGGGAAGGTTACACAAGAGTTTAGGGGATGGAAGAGATCTGCATGAACACGGAAGAGAACAGTCATCCTATGTAGTTACTGAGGAAAAAAATCAGCTTGGATGGGGTTTGCATGCAACAACTGGATCTTTCTTAAGAACCACAGGAATCTCAGACAGAGCATCACTCTTCTCCAATTCAGTGACACATTCTTTAAGTAATGGGAACTGAGCCACACTTTTGGAAGTCTACATGCCACTCAGGCAGAGGATATGCTCTAGACCAACGTGCCATAAGACAAAGCTGCTTACATTAGTACTTAATTATTAGGAGTAATGATTGATAGATCAAAGTGAAGTGTCCTTTACCAATGATACTGCATTCCCTTTAGATACTTCTAACATGCCTTTGCAGAAGTCAGTTACTTGCAAAACTTGCATTTATTTGATAGAGAATCAGTTTAATGCTCTCAGTTTAACATGCAACGGACTCACCTCGTGAGCATGTTTAGAGAAAGAATCAGCACTGTAAAGCATAGCTGCAGTTTTTTCTTCCAGTTCTCCTAGTTTCTGTCCTCTTTCATCTAGTGCCAACCGGGCTCGTGCTAGTTCACCAACTACACCAGATGCTGCTCCTTTGACACCTTCAATACCCCCAGGCCCTGGAATATGCTGGGCAAGACTTCTTGATGCCTTCCCAGATGCTGATTCTCCAACTGGAGGCATTTGCAAAGCAGCAAAAACAGAATAGTAAGGTTTTCTATCATTATTACATGAATACCAATGTAACTAGTTTATAAAGAGGTGTCATTTCTTTGCATGGACACTGAACACCTAATCATAGGCATGACTACAAACAATACTCACTACTCAATGTTACTAGATGTTACTATTTAATAAAATTCAGATTTTTCATACATATTTTCAGAGTTTCATACATATTTCATACATATTACAACCTTTTCACAGCTCGAGTGTGAAATTAAAACTCTCTGAACAGTGCTGGCATCACAGTCATCAACAGAATTGTGCTGGTGAATTGGTTTTTAACAATACAATTTGCTTCACAGGGAAGGTGTTGGGAGTTCTCCTGCAGACAAAGCAGGAGAATTTTGAAAACACAAGCCGTGGTCAGTTCTGGAAGTGCTTTGCTGGTGTAGCCAGCCAGTATGACTCCACCAGCAGAAGTTTCCTTTGGTGGAAGTTCAGTTTTAGAGGCAGACAGCTGAAGATTAGGTGTCTTTGCTCTCATTATTGTAAAAAATCTTGTAAAAAAACATAATGTAATGTAAATCATGAAAAGGCAGTACAGCTGTAAACACCCACGAATGGTCAGCTGAACAGTTCTCTAGACTCCAGAGACCGCACTGACTACATCTCCTTTGCTCATAATGGGACATCAGCCACCTAGTTCAATCTAGAAACTTAATGGACATGTCAATCTCATGCTGAATTGTATACTATACAAAAATCTGAGCGAAGGCCAAAACATTTTTGGATGTTGAAGTCAAACCAAATAATCTTTAACTTTTTTTTAAACAATTAAATTATAGTTTAAATATTTTCTTTTTTTTTCCACCTCTAGGAAAAATAGTATTAACTCCTTTAACAAGTTTTGTTGCAGTATTTAAAGATTTTTTGATTTGATTTTATGCTTCTAGGAAGAACGATTTAGATTTCAACTAACACTATAAATATTTTTAGTCTTGGGAATTTACAGACAGAAGAGAAATAATTTCCCTTCTTACAGACTCTGCTGTGACATCATGTCAAATATGACAATTCCAAAAGACATCTGAAAATGTCTTTAATATAGTCATTGAACTCACTTTCAGGCTACAGTTCATCAGGCTTTTCCCCCCCCTTCAATACTATTTTCCTCTTGAAGATCTGGGCCAAAAAAGATCTTTCTATCAAAAGCCACAAACAAAGCCTGAGACTAAGTTATAAAAAAATTGTAATCTCCTTAAAAATAGGGCAGAAGAGTCAGGGCAAAATGGTGGAAACTTGAAATGATGTAAACAGACAGCTTCTAAAGTTACAAGGGTGCTTTTCTGTTGCCATGAAGAGGCAGTTTTTCCCAGTCCCAGTCATACTAATTAAACATACAATTTGTGCACACAAATTTCTCTAATAGAATACTTGACCAACCTTTCAAAGTATTACACTTATATAAAAACAAATGGAATTTTTAACGCAGAAGGTGACCTCTAAATATTTGATATTTGTTCAAAATGTACAGGCACAAGTAGTAAAGACTAATTTAATTTTTACTGGATAGATCAAAAGAACCAATAAAAAAAGAAAAGATTGCCAGGGAGCCTTGTCTGTTTTAACAGCTATGTTTTATGTTAAAAAGGAATCAGTTCTTCTTACAAATAAACTTGCATAGTATGGTGTTTCATCTAGCAAATATCTGAATAAGTGGAAGTTATTTTCCTTAAGTATATTAAAATGCTGCATGCAACCACAGAAAAAAAAATAAAGCTGTGATAAAAAAAAATGAGAAAATGATAAAGCAATAAAAACTGCCAAATCTGAATTTTACTGTCCTATGAACAGATACAGTTCTGTCCTTGCTCTCATTTTAAGGCATCTCTGCACAAGTCAAACGAGGAAAAAGAATCTAGCAATTGAACTGAAGTAGAATGAAGTTTTAATTTTCTCACTGTCCAAAACAGTACTTTTCAGAACCAGCCCCTTTCAGTTTAACAGCATTAAGAAAATCATGGTCAATACTATACACTTCCTAAAGACGAAGAAAAATAAGATCAGTTGTCCCATTTCTTGTTTTATAATCTACTCCTGAATAAATGAGGTGAAGAAGCCTGTGAGAAAACAGTACCAAGCTTATCTGATCTTGTTGGTAAGGTGTACAACACAAAAGCTATGAAAAAGTAGTTGTCATTCACTTTTTTACTTTCCTGTTTGCAAGTGTAATGTTCTATTAACACAGATAATACATTTCTCAAGGATCACTGGCTTCCTTAGGTAGAAATACCAGAAAAATAATGAATACTAAAAACTTACAGAGTTCTTCTCTGTCAAGTGACTGTGCCCCACCTCCGAACAGACCTTTAAAGAACCCCCTGTTTGGTGCTTCTGGTGTTTCTACAGGAGTGAAGAGCTCACCCAACATTTCCTTTGCAATGAAGAAGAGACACAACAAGGCATACATTATTTCACACACAAATTAATGGAATATTCTTTCACTTTAAGGATTTATTTTGTGGATTTGAATTTCAAAATGAATATGCTTTAATAGGCATCTGCCTTTGCAAGGTGACAAGGAAATAAAAAATAGAAACATATTAGGAAATCTGGCCAAACCATCTGTTCTGACAGTTGGAAGCTTATAGCTCACGAAATTCAGTAGCAAAAAAATGGGTTCGAGTAAAACTCTATTTGCCCCTCAACAACTTGGGCAACACTCCTGATTTTGTTCTGTTAAAACTGTATCTACAAAGACTCATATCCATGCGTGGTACAAAAGTAGAGCTTACAGCCTGCATCTCTGCTATTTCAGTATTCTAAACAGCTGCCAAGCTGAAGCATGGCTGAGAATCTTTTCAAGCTGTTAATACCCCTGAAACATAATGGCTTCCTTCAAGTATCCTCAGTTAGTATTCCCCACTTGTGTCAGCATGCGCCTCCACCAGCATCAGTTGAACAAGGGAGTTTTGTTAACTGCACATGTTAAACAAGCAAATTTCCTACCAATGAAAAAGGAAATTAAGTAAGAAACTGTGTCAAATACAACAGCATGGATGAAACGGTAAAATTTAAGAGCAGGGGAAGTGGTTCATCCTGAATCAGACTCTACAGTGAGAAAAAACAAAGCACGAAAGCCGAAGTGCTCGGCTTTATGATAAACTTAATTACTGTAAGCATCGTGAATCTGGAACCGTGAACCTCAGAGTATATCTGTCAGAAAACAGTCATTAATTTTTTTTTAACTCATTACCTGAAGATTTTCACATGTTTCTTGACTGTAGGTGAGCCTCTGTATTTCCGTTGGTGAAACAAGATAGAGTGCTTGTCCATTATTGGTGAAGCAGAATGTTCTGGCTATCCGCATATTGGTGAGTGGCAGGTAATACACATCCAACAATGGCCTTAAACTTGGCAAACTTCAGAAAAAGAATTAAAAAACCCATTAAATATAGCAGGATTGTCTATTATTGATCAAATGGCTCATTTTTAGACTGCAATACATTATTTTTCTCTTCACCATCTGCATAAGTACCATATAAACAGGTTATCATTTAATGCAATTACAAAATCTCAAAACAAATAGGAGATTTTTCAAGGTAGCACCTCAAAAGTGAAATTTAAACATCTGCATCACAGATGCATTTAAAAGCATCATTTAAATGATGCTGAGCATGTAAATCACAGATTCACTTAAAGCATTATTCAGTAATTACTAACGATAAGTATCTGCCAAAAGGTTACAACTAAACAACCTGCCTCTCCTCTCAGGTGAAGAACTTCTCCTTGAATAAAAATACAAGTCTAAAAGATCTCTCCTCAAGAACACTTAGAAATACGAAGGGGTGTGCTTTCAAAGGAAAACAGAATTCAGTAGTCTCAAACAACAATCTTATGAATTATGTCCACCTTTTTTGTCTGACTGCATATTTAAGAGGAAGTCCTCTTAGAGTAAAGGTAGCTTACCTTGTATTTTCTGATTCTGCACATATAACTGCAGTACTTACTGCATCAAGCTACTGAAGAACAGATGCAACACACTCAGGCTGTAACAATGCTCTTGTTACCAAACATTCCTCTCCCTCAAAGTAATAATAAATGCAAGAAGTGACTGAACACCTGATGTCTTGATAAAGAGAACCCAAAATAAACCACTGTCTCAAAAACTTCCCCTGTGAAATTTTTGTAAAAACATAATTTACACAAGATGTTAGCTGCAAATGTATCAACAATACATTAAGCAGCTTCTGCTGCAGATACCATCTGCATAAGATTATTATTTCTAGAAACTAAAAAAAGCAGTAAAGGGCAAAGTGAAGCCAAAAGCAATGAAAAAGAAAGATATAGTAACCACAACAGTAAGTGTTGGGGTTTTTTTTGTACGACACAGAGATTTATAAATGTTAAGCTTGCATTTCACAGATTGTGGATTGTCTCTCAGCAGGAGACTTCATCTATGACAAACAAAAGGAAGGAGAACAGGTAACATGACTTTGGAGGCAAGTTCTACAAATAAGAAATAAAAAGCAATATTCTCTTGTAAGCACATCACCCAGAAATGACACTTCTGCTGTGCATGTACCTAAAATAAGAATATTCCTATGAATTAGTAACAGGGAAGTGCTTTGCTTCAGACTGATGGAAGCATAAAACACCCTTACAGCTTCAAGACAAAACACAAAAACATGAGATCAGATAGGACAAGCATGACATCCATGATAGCATTTTCAGAGTATCAAATAAATCTCTAACAGAATTGTAAGTCCTATCTAAACATATATCAGTAGATAAGTATTGGGCATCTTGGATACGATACAATGCTCTGACAACTTTACACAAACAGCACGTTAAGTCCACTTCCCAGCAGCAATTCTTGCTTATGAAATAGAGTTAATACTTGGGAATTCAACTTCCCTAAAAATTCAATATTTATAATTTAGCACCTACCTCTATACAAAGTTCTTTAGAAAACAAAATGAATCCTGAGGAAAACAGAATTTGTTTGAATATATGGTACCTGAACATTATTAAGTTCAGTTTTAATTAAGGAAAAAAGAGTGCTTGCCCTGCAAGGTGAGCAGCATTTTCTAGAGATGTTTAGAATATATGTTGGGATGTAGATCAATGGAGTTATCAGACTTAACAATCAAAACTTATTTTTTAATTGTAGTATGCATCAGATCAGCTTTAGTTTTATTCCTAACAACTTCCTGAAGAAGTATCTTTTTAGAGAATTTCTCAAGCTGAGAGCTTGTTTTTGCAACCTTAAAAATAACCTTTTAGGAATTTTACTGGCATGATTTTATAAAGCCATGTTCCACATTCATCTTAGCATTAGCCAAGACTAAAATGTAGGTGCAAGGGTACAGATATATAGACACTGCTGTTCAGAACAAAATAGCATTTGGAAATATTGAAGAAAAAGGACATGTTAAAATAACATAGGTGACATGTAAGTACAAACAAACATTACTTTTACACGTTTAAACTCATAACTTAAACCCCTTACTTTAGATGACTTATTTCTATACTACAACTGCTAGCAATTAATCTTGCCTTTACAGCCTTAAGTTTAAGGCCTTTAAGACATGAGCAAGCTACACAACAAAAAAGATAAGCTTGAGGCATGTGTGTGATGCAAACAGCTGCACAAAAATATGCAGAGTTGTAGTCAGGTACCAGCTGAAGGTCTGATTCAAGGCCGTTTTCTCCATCAGGGAGTAAATTCACATTTGAGAATCTTCATCAACTGACGGACCTATATCACATGTTTGGAACTATTTGTTGAATCAGGGTAGCTTGAGCTAAACTGGTAAACTTTGTCATGTGTTAAAAGCATAACTAATAAGAATGCATAATCAAAATTATCAGGGCTCGAGTGTTAGAAGTTCATCAACATTGAGTGAACGTATGTTTTTTTTAAGTCATATTCTTACAGAAAAGGAAACTTTTTATCCAGCAGAAGATTATTTGTTCTTTTTCTATTTAAGTTACTTTCAAACAGTTCTTACCTAAAAGTCATAATATGTCCATTGGCACAGAAACATGCAAGGCAGATACTGTTACTCAATGACACTATATCTCCACGAAGAACAAAAGAAGTCTCTGTTATGTTTTGCTTATAAATACAGTTCTGGGATGGCAGTGAGATAACTTTTGCTTGCTTTTCTGAACATATCACTGCATATTGGTTTTCACTGATTTCCTGAGAGGAAGAGGGGGACACTGAGACAGGTCGTCGCTTTTTCGATTTATCTTTTTCATCTTTATCTTCAGGAACATTGTGTTCTCTCCAGGGCTCATGTGCCGGTGGGACCAAAGATCCTGTGGTATCCAGAAAAGCCATTCTCAGGATTGCCCCTTTTAGCCTCAGGATGGTTCCTAGGAAAAAGAAGTTGGGAGTACGTTTCTAAAACAGTTCTCCTAAATCGTCTTTCAAGCTACAGAATATTCCTTTAAGCAGCTAGCAAAACGAAAAGAAAACAAGAACTTAGGCTTGCCTCTGTAGCAAAAGAGAGACATGTACCAAAACCTTTGGATGTTTATCTGAAAACCAGTGAAGCACATGCAAGAGCACATACGCATTCAAGAAAATGTGAAGTTTTCAAGGATTGAGTGTATGCATACTCTTCCATTAACTTCAACAGAAATCTACACATTTATTAAAAGAGCCAAGCTGGAACGCACATTTATATTCAAGTTCAGTGTCACAAATGCAACTAATTTCATTCTCTCCTGAGGAGTACACAGTGTGCTTAATATCAACAATAAATGCTATTTGTCAAAGGTGAGCACCTCCTTTTTCTTCAATACAGACAGGTTCAAAACCAATAACCTGAGTTTTTTTTCCACTGCAGTTCACACTTGAATCCACTTCTCTCTAGCATAAACTGAAAGGGGAAGAGTTTTCCCTCCCTACTGTTTAAATCACTATCTCTGTAGGCCAGATCTTAAGCTAATACATTTTACTTATATTTATTCACATGTAAAAACACGAACACAAGTAAAAACATGAACATTTGCTAAGTACACAAAAAGTCATACACATGGCAGTATCTTTTAAGGTTCATGCTGCAGATCCAGTGATTAAATATACTGTCCAGTCTGCAGCCTTGCCTTTATGATCAAATATTACCAAATATGAATACTGTGCTAATACCATACTTGATAAGCACAAATTAAATCTGGTCTGGAGGTCACACTATTCCTACCACTATTTCAACCAAATAACGTTGCAATTTGCATGTCTTGATACCATCTGTGTGAGCAAAGTGGAGCAGAGCAGCATGTTCTGCATGAAACAGTGGCAGCAGGAACGCCTAAATCTATGCCTAACAGCACATTCAGCAAACCATTAATACATAATTACAACAAAATCAGTTGCTGTGAATCAGAAAAACAAGATACAAGACCTATCACAGCAATCCAAAAGAATATTTTATCATTAATAATTAGAGCTAGTTGCTCAATATGCAACCCTTAATTTGTATTCCCTTTTCATGATGCAGGAAAACTGAAAGTTTCCTACCTTGTGATTATAAAAAAAAAAAATTAAGCATTTGAAATACTCATCTCTTATGCTATTTCTGTTTAACAATTGCCATGTACTACATTAAAGTTAGAAAACATACATTTCTTAGCAAGTATATATTAAAGTGGTATTTTTATATTATACGAGATCATATTTTCAACTTTGCAACTTTAAAACTCTGGTAATGAAGTAACCAATCTAGATTGTTAACCTCAGTAGCTAAATCAATGATGTATGTATGAAGTTGCAATTAATCCATAACTGAAAAAAACCATTTTCTTTAAAAAAAAAAAAAAAAAAGAACGACAACAATACTTTACCAAAGTATACTTTAGCTCATCTGCTTTGTACATACCACTAGGAGAAACAATTACTGGCTGAAGAAGTCTTTGCTCTCCTCCTGGGGGTAAGTTCAATACAATGACAAGCACTGTACCCAGTGTGGTCCCAACCCACAGGCATGGGGAAGGTGATGTATCGGCCTTTCTCGTGAAAGTCTCACAAAAATGAAGAGCTGAAATTGCCTCGCGTGACTCTTTATCAATGCTAGTTACGCTAGAACTCCGGGATCGACTGAAAGAGTTGTCTTTGACATCTGAAAATAAATCAGTATTAATTAAAAAGAATGGCAAAATGCAGGCACTAAGAGAATTCAGATTTTCTTTTTTGTTCTTTAGCATGAGGTATATACTAACTACTATTCTATTAATTATTACTCCTTTATTCTTCCTTACTCAAATTTCCTTTCGGCCCAGTTTTCAACACCGTATCCTGAACAAAGCACCCAATCTTTTTTTGCAGACGTTGCCATTAGGTAATTGTCATGAACAGTTGTTATGCATATTTCTGTCTTTGTGGGACAGAATAACAGTCATCATCAAACAGGACTCCTCCTTTAAAAAAAAAAGGAGTTACAAACCTCTCTGCCAATTAGTTCATTGATCAGATTAAAAAATATTGGCTTCCATGGAACATGGTTTAATCATCTTATGAAGATGCAACTACGTTAGTTTAAGAACTGCAGTGACATCCAGACAGCATGATAACATGTAACCCGTAATGACTCACAGTAATATTGTCCCACTTTAGGAAACTATATGGAGGAGGTCTAACAGGCTATTTAGACACACCCAAACATTTAGTAAGAGAAATATCAAATGCCACCAAATGCCACCTAGCACTGGTATGCAGAGCTGAAGATTTCTGTTTCGAATACTGTACAAAATAGCACTAAGAAACTTTTCAGGACGTCTTGCTCATTGCTTAGCGAATACAGTTCTTGTAACAGAGAGTGAATTCTAATATTAACAAAAGCCTCAAACCCGTAAACATGCTGCTCCATTCTAGCCATGCACTGTCTGTACATGTCTGAATTTGTCTGTGCATTCACAAATTAATGCTTTACTTTCTTAACTCATCATTCCAAAATTTTAGCACAAGACAACCCTTACTAGTAAAAGCTTGATGCAATTTATATCATGACTTTTAAAAAATTAAGTTATTACTTTGGATCTTTGGGTAGGGTATAGATGCAACAGGCATCTTTAAAGCAGGATTAAGAGCTAAAGAGCAACATTTAACTACATACTTTCTGGAAGTATCACTATGCTAATTTCATTAAATTAGCGCAAAACTTTCTACAAAGAACATCTAACATGCATTTGAAAAGCATACAAACTAGATTTCAGTTGACTAAATACAAACATCTACTGAACACAAACTGAATCTTCTCAGGAAATACTTGTCTTATTCCAACAAGGATAGAAAAATTATTGTCCTGCCAAATTTTAGCTAAGTCAAATGTAAAACATGGATTCTAAAAAGAAACTAGGTCAACCACTCAGATGTTGACACCCTAAGTTTTCACATTTAAAAAAATCAAATCCAGAGTAAAACAATGAAAACAATTATTTGTTTTTATAATTCTTCTAATGACCACAACCTCTTAAGATGCTTGTTTCTTCAGGCTTGAATGTCTACTTAGTGTTTTTTCAACTCTGAGATGGATGATTCAGTCTGAATATAATAATACCTTAACTGCTACAGGCATAAAATTAAATGTGCATTTGTTGAGTTGCATCTGGTTGAGTATTTGAAAAGCATGTGTACAAATTCCAGAAGCATTGGAATGGACAGAGAAAACTCCATAAAAACTAACTTGCCAGACAATACAGGCATTGTAGAGTGTGGACATTCATTCAGGCAAGAGAACTGGGAGTAAAGATTTTAACTGCATTAGTGCATATATTTATCCTGAAGTCAAGGAAGAATCTATGGTTTGTTAACAGATTAGTTTCAGATGAAGAGGAAGGAACAACAGCGTGATGATCCACTACACACTACTTCATCAGAAGGATGGAAAGATGAGGCTCTTTTGAGCCACTAAACCAAAGGATAGGACCTAGTGGCAATGGTACCTTAATCATCTGGATTATAACATTGAAAAGCAGTGGTTAAATGCAGACGAGAGTATGTGCAAAATACTCCTGTTTTAGAAAGTGGAGTAAAAATACAGAAGCACATACTTTAGATTGTTTTGGCTATTTAGGGAGGGAAAGGGTAGGTTAAAGATCTAAAGACAGAAAAGTAATTTGAAAGAACAAGATCATGGAAGAGTAGGTTTCAAGAAGTCATGGAAAGAACGGAGAGAAAATAAGGATAATGAACTTGGGAGAAAGGCATTTCAGCTGTCTCCTAGAGCCAGTAGATGTGGCCACATAAATGACAAAAATACAAGCAAGCTGACAATCTCTGAAGAACACTATGCAAAAGCTATGCCACTAAGAGAAAAGATAGAAGTAAAATAAAAAAAGATTATAATTGCCTAAAGAATTTATTTACAGACCTGAAAACCTAGAACTTTACACAGAACAAAATGAGGCATCTAAGTGCAGATGTCCACACACATGCAAAGTCAAGCAAAACCAGTCAAAGGCTATTAGAATTCGGAAGGTACAAGCTATTTTATGAGTATACCAGAAGTGAGATAACAAAAAGTTGCATTATTTCAGTAGATAGGACAGCAAGTATTAAATGATGTAGAGAATGCTGAAACTCTTTCAGGATCAGAAAATACTGAAAGAATTTCAGCATTCTCTTTTTCCAGTCTTCATTAAAAAAGAGAAAACTTCTAAGTACTTACTGCTATCAAAGAACTGGGAGTAAAACAACAGTAGAATTAGAATGAATTGGACAATATTTAAGTACAAATGTGGTCCAGTTTGCAAAGTATGATAAAATTCACCCTAAACTGAAGTTATCCCTAAACCATTAGTAAACATAGTAAGGAAGAACAGACACAGATTGAAAAAAGAAATCAAATTTTTCCTGCTCTTGCATGCCAACAAGGCCACAGTTAAATCCCTCTAGTTCTGGGCACAAGAGTTTTAGAAAGATGATGAAAATTCCCAGTCCAGAGGAGATTAACAGAGGCCATCCTAGATTTAGACAACATAACCTAAAAAAAGGAGAAGGAACTGAACTTCGTAAAAAAAAAGCTAACTACAAAAATGAAGATTAGAGATACGATGACAGCTTTCAACAGCATAAAAGATGGCTAACAAAAAGATAGGGAGCACTTGTTATCTTTGTTCATTGTGGAAAGGGCAAGAAAAAGTTAACCTGGAAGCAAGGAAGATTGATTAAATAACAGGAAATTTATCTAACTGACTATAAAACACTGGAACTTTCTGTCTGGGATTTTTCTAAAAACTTATTTATTGGAGCCTCATGAATAGATGAGAGGTTAAGTTGTCAGACATCTGGATCTTTGCCATAGCAATGGATTAAAGGATCTCTGAGGGTTCCTTCCAACTTCACATTTCTCTGAGTGGAGCAAGCTGTAATTGTAAATTGTAAATCAGGGTGGTCCAGCGCAGTTTCAGGATATCCCAGTGCCATGGACTCTCTCCTTGCTGATAGCAGCAGGGAAAATACACAGTTCTGCAGCTGCCAGTCTGATCCTGATCTGTCTTCTGCTGGGGTTGTGGTAGTGATTCTGCTGCAGGAGTGGAGCGAGTTGTGGCAGGCAGAAGGCAACTTTCACATTCAGGCTGCATCTACTGCTGTAGGTCTACAGCTGTCCCCCATCATCTTTAGAGAACAAGGCAGGGGAGCTGGATCTGATGTACAAGCTGGCAAAGTACTAAAAAAAAAAGTAATAAATCTACTAATTTGTATGATGTTTTAGTTATGCAATATAATGACCTTTAGTACCTCAGACTTCACAACTGAACTGCTTCTTACATAAAAAGTTACTGTGCTTTTTCAATAAAAATGAAATTCTCAGACTGGTCATCCATCAAACAGCTGTATATTATTTTCATTTAGAGAGAGTGGTCACAAGGCAATTAACATTTGTAAAATTATGTCTAACTATTTGTTGAGTGGACCTCAACATATCCCGTTATTCTAAAGATATTTCCTTTTTCAATTTAAAATGTATCGGATGGTTCTGAACAGGCAGCAATTTTTCTTACATTACCTTACATTATTCACGCTTTTGCTATCACAGCGCTACTGATAAAGTGAGTGACAGATGCCTAAAAATTATGACAAAAGTGCGATAGGCCATGTACAAGATTTGCAGGCTTACCTTATGATGACAGCAATGACATTTTGTGCCCGAGAGCCCCCAAAAAGAGTGGAATTAAAATTTTAGTTCTGCACTTCAGATAAATGCAACATAAAGTCATGATAGTTTACACAATTTAGGACTCTTACTTTAACATACTCGCATTCTGTAAAACAGATTTAGTAAAAATAAAATCAACTATGTAAACTTACCTAGATCAGGCTTTAACTCAGTTGGCAAACTTAGCTTTCTGGACATCTTTGCTGAAAAGTGAAGTATATCTTTTTTAAAAAAAGAATAAACACGGTTCTGCTGGTTTTTATTTGCTTCTTTCCCATATTTAATATATTGTTTATTACATTAATTGCAGTACTCAACAGGATTCCTACTAAAGCAGAGCCTCACTTCCACAAGGGAGGGGTGCAAAGTAAAACATGGAAGATACCAAAATCCCCAAATACAGCATTGTATGACTTTTGCCAAACTTCATTTCTCCTCAGGCTTCAGGCAGAACTTGATGGATTGGATCAATTTTGCTTTGGCTCAACCTCAAGTTTTACAGACTCTTGGCTATTGCAAGAATGTGCACTGAAGTTTACATAAAGTTAACATCCCATCCCCTCTTCTTCTGCCCTACTTCCTGATCAAACCTGAGATATTTAAAATCAAGAAAAGACAAACTTTTAATTATGCTAAAACATTAATGCACACGTGTAAAAAGCTAGTAATCTGAGGAGCAATCTGCAACCTGAGAAGAATGAAGATGTTATGGAGAATTATACAATCAAGCAGCATAGAAACACTTGCAACACTGTCAAACAAAAGATAGTATAATTTTGATAATATTGCTGAGGTAAGAAAATAGCACTTGACTCATCCCTGACTTCGGAAATTCTCTTTATAGGAATGGAAATCCTGCTGTCCATTTAAAATGCATTACAATACCAACAAATACTGCTATAATAAAAGTCACTAGTAAATTAGTAACCACACATCCCTCTTCCATTTTTCTTTCAACAATTACTGGGGAAGGAATAATTTTGATGTAGCTTAACTACTAGACCAGGGCTAGACTCTGAATTTATTTCCCAGCCACATGCTTGAATTTTGATATATCATTTAATTCTTCACTATCTTGTAAGCGTAATACTTCTCTACCTAAAGCAGATGTTGAGAATAGCCTCATAATTCTAGGAGTACCTTGTAACGGATACCAGTCATAAAGCAGCCTGAATCTTGCTGATTCTCTCAGCTAAAAATGGAGTTAACTCATTCTAACTATCGTTTTAACAGAAATAATTTTCTACATATCTTGAAGAATAGCATGTGATTTAAAGTTACTTCCACTTCATTGTATCATCAATGATGCTCATCAATATTGCAAATGCTAGTTATCTGAATAGTTGAACAGTTTTATTCCTGTCATACATTATAAAAATTTTAGAATAAGACTCTTCTAATTTCCTTCATGTGTCAATGTTACAAAGTATGTCCTATTCAAATTAAATTGAAATTACTCTCAGACTGAAATGCTAGTCACTAACTTCACACTTTTTTGCTAAGTGCTCTGCAGAATAGAATAGTTTGGGTTGGAAAGGACCTTTAAAGGTCATCTAGTCCAACCCCCCTGCCATGGGCAGGGACATCTTCAACTAGATCAGGTTGCTCAGAGCCCCCTCCAACCTGACCTTGAATGTTTCCAGGGGTGGGGCATCCACCACCTCTCTGGGCAACCTGTTCCAGTGTTTCACCACCCTCATTGTAAAAAATTTCTTCCTTATATCTAGTCTAAATATACCCTCTTTTAGTTTAAAACCATTACCCCTTGTCCTGTCACAACAGGCCCTGCTAAAAAGTTTGTCCCCATCTTTCTTATAATCCCCCTTTAAGTACTGAAAGGCTGCAATAAGGTCTCCCCAAAGCCTTCTCTTCTCCAGGCTGAATAACCATAACTCTCTCAGCCTTTCCTCATAGGAGAGGCGTTCCATCCCCCTTGATCATTTTCGTGGCCCTCCCCTGGACCCGCTACAACAGGGGTCCATGTCTTTCTTGTGCTGAGGGC